AAAACATAAACTCTCTTAGGATTAGATAACAGGTAGCACAAGACTATGATAACAGAGATACAGTAAACAAAGTAAAAGCTACAATTACCTTCATATTTCTGCCTGACATGATTTCCAGACCATAATACAAAAAGGAAAACCTGAACAGAGCCCAAGTATTTCACTAAGGTGAAGAGAGAAATCTTGATAGTAAAACAAAAATGCTAGATCGATAAGGCACAGTACAGAGATGTACAGTATAGAGAAAGCACTCCAGAAATCTGCATAGAATGCTCGAGTCCTTAGCAAAGTACTAACATTGTCATTCAATGATGAAGCACATGTGGCTAAAGAAAGACTGACAGAGAGGAAAAGACTTATGAAAAAGATTTAAGTCACTATTCTCAGAGGTCATACAAGACTGGGCATCATTAGATCTCTTGCCAGATGAATACATAGTACATTCATTATAAATCCCTGAAGGGCCACACATTAGTAGTTAGCTACCTTTTAGAATGAAAATTTTTTTTAAAGTGCAAAATTTATAATGTCTAGAATACAAAATTACTAGTTATACATAGAAATTGTCATTATCCAGTAATGACAAAGATACTGTAATTACGATGCAAGGACATTAAGTTCTAATGTAAATGCTGTAACTTACAAATGTGCAAAGTGAAACAAAAAGGTAATCATACTAGATCAAATATAAAATTAATAAATAGAATCAGGCAGGATATGTATAAGTGAATCATATATTATTTGAAATAAAAACTTTACTGACCGGGGTCTTCTATGTAGATTACCATGTCATCTGCAAATGATAATTTAACTTCTTCCTTTCCTGAGTTAATTATTTTCTCTTATCTAATTTTTCTAGCAAATGTTTCCAGAACTATATTGAATAGGAATAGTCATAGTGAAAACCCTTGTCCTATTACTGATTTTAGAGGGAAAGCTTTCAGCTGTTGACCATTTAGTCTGGTATTGGCTGTCAGTTTCTCATAGATGGCTTTTATCAGATTGAGATAGAGATCATCCATTCCAATTTTCTGCACAGTTTTTAACCTGAATGGATGTTGGATTGTAGCACATGCCTTTTCTACATCTACTGAAATGGTCATGTGATTTTTGTCCTTGACTCTGCTAATGTGGCATATTACACTTATTGAGCAGTATATGTTGAACCATCCTTGAATCCCTGGCATAAACCCTACTAGGTCATGGTATATAATCTTCTTGATAATTGGCAGCATTCTGTTTGTCAGTATCTCACTGAGAATTTTTATCTTCTTTGTTCCATAGAGAAACTGGCCTCCTCCTTCATTAGGTCCTTCTCCAGTTTGTGCATCAGGGTAATAATGCTTATTTTCAGGAATGAATTTAGGAGCATTGATATAATTTAAATTTCATTTAAATATTTGACTAGTAGTGACATTAGGTCTTCTCTAAGTCTCTTGTAGAATTCAGCAGTGAATCCACCAGGGCCTGTTTGTTGGCTCGATTTTTCATCACATCCTCAGTTTCACTGACTGATACTGGGCTACTTAGAATGTTTATATCTTATTGATTCAGCTTTGTTAATTCATAGGAATCTGTCCATTTCTTCTGCATTTTCTATCTTATTAGAATACATATTCTTAAAGTAAGTGTACATGTTTTCCTGGATTTCTGCAGGACCCATTGTCAACTCACCCTTTTCACTACTAATTTCAGAGTTGGATTTTTTTTCTTTTTTATTCTGTTAAGGTTGGATAAGGGTTTGCTTATTTTATTTAATCTTTCAAAGAACCAGTTATTTGATTCATTGACTCTATATTGTTACCTTTGTCTCCACGGCAATAATTTCTGCTCTGATCTTTATAGTATTCTCCCTCATATAAGCTTTGGGCTTGACTTGCTCTTCTTTTTCTAGTATAAGCTTCATCATTGTTTATCTGAATTCATTAAGTTTTCTCAATATGGGTATTCACCACTGTAAATTTCCTTCATAGAACTGCCTCCATTGTGTTCCATAAGTTCTGGTATGTTGTACTGGCATTATTGTTTACCTATAGATACTATATAGTTTCTTCTTTAATTTTATCTGTGACTCACAGATCATTCAGGAGAATGTCATTTAATTTCCACATGCTTATCAAATGTTTGTGTTTTCTTTTGCCATAATTTCCAATTTCATTGCACTATGGTCTAATAGTATGACTGGAATAATTTCAGTCATTTTGCATTTACTTCAGCATGTTCTGGGAGGTAGTATACAGTCTATTTTGGAGAAAGTTCCTCACACAGCTGAGAAGAATGATTTTGTGAGGCAGAACAGTCTGAAGACATCTACTAAGTCCATTTGTTCACAGGATTGGATCAGAACTGATATTTCTTTGTTGATTTTGTGCCTAACTGATCTATTTGAAACAGTGCAGTATTAAGGTCCCCCACGACAACTGTGTTAGTGCTTATAAAGTACATAGTGACTGTGTCCATTTTGATTAGTGTTGGCTTGAAGTTCACGATGTCTGCAAATAGAACAGCTATCCATTCTCTATGTTCTGGGTTCTTGTTGATCTTGTTTTTGTTCTATTCTCCTTGCATGTTTCTTTTGACTGGAGAGTTAAGATCATTTGCACTGATGGTTATAACTGATGTAATCTGACATAACCTTGTCATGTAATTTCCCTATTGTGGTCG